GAAATAGAGCGCCAAGTTCGCACATCACTGAGCAAAGTCGCAGAATCGTTTTCAGTGTCTGATGAGGAATTTCCCCCACGAATCATTATCACTCAATTCTGCAAGTGGTTCTGATTTACTATCGCTGTTCTCTAGCTGGTCTAAAACCGCTTTTGACCTAAAGGGACGCTTTTTGGACGCCATGGACGTTTCTCAGTTTCCAGGCAGAAAGAACAGTAATAATGCAGGCAGGGTGCCGGACAAAGCACTCGGGACAAAATGTATGTGAAATGGTTTGATACAGGAATGTTATACTATGTGATTTTAGTGTTTTGTGAATGTCACTTTTACAACTTTCAAATTTCCCGCCAGTTCTGTCCCCCGTACGTCCTGACGTCGCAGGGGACGTAACCCAGAAGACAGATGCCGGCATCGGCCGGAGGACATTGCCGGGGACACTGCAGGGGGGACATCGCGGGGAGCGCAGGACAAGGTAAGAGAAGAAGGGATCCCGGAGCAACGCTGCAGTGTATTCCCGAGTGTAGCTCAGGGTCACCACTTGTGGTGCTGAAACTTTACCCCGAGCTACACTCGGGAATACCTCCAGGGGGGTAAAGGAAAATTTTACAAAAAATATTATTGGTTACCTCTTGTGGTGCTGAAACTTTACCCCCGAGCTACAAACGGGAATACCGCTAGAGGGTTAAGGAATGGTTAGTTTTTTCTGCTGTCTGCGTCCTATTTCTTGTCCTGAGAAACAACAGAAAATTAGAGAAGACCTCTCCAAACCAAGGGAAATATTCTTTGGAAATGGAACATGTGTCACTACTGGAGGACTTGAAGTGGGTGTAAACCTTTACATAAACTCAGTGAAGTAACTAGCCTTTTCTGCTCTACTTTCATTCAAAGTGCTGAATTTATAAAGCTTGTCTGAGAGTTCAGAAAAAAGGGAGCAGAGAGCTAAAATCCCACTCTGCAGAGCTCAGTGAGGAGAGCTCGGATACCTGATTGGAGGGAAGGGACACACCTCCTCCACACAGCTCACAGGAATAGAGCTGAGGCTATCAATCACAGGCTGTGTTGAAGATCTCTCCCCTGTCACCATTTTTCTTTTGGTGTCAGATAATCTTGTCAGAATTGATTCATGCTGATAGCAGCAGATAGAAATGACAGCTTATGCTGACCATACACGTGTGGATTTTTGGCCAACAATATTCATAGAAAAAGTTGTACGAAAATTCTTTGAACATTCGATGAATGGACAAATGTCTTTCGAAAATTGTCTTTTGCATTTAACATTCGATTTTTTCTCTTTTCTGTTCAATCAGCACATTGAACGAAAAAAAACCTCACAGATCCCCCCATCCACACAATGTGGATGCAGGGATCTCTGCTGCAGTGCTATTGTATTTTGACAGCCAGAATACACAGATGAATGGTTGATAGAGGTCTTACAACAGTGAAACAAACAATGATATTCGGCTGGTTCCTGCTGGAGCAGATGATTTTCAGTCCATGTATATCAGCCTTAACCCTTGGTTTCAGTGTAGGGAAAACTGGAGATGCAGGGAGCAGATGGGAGAGGGAACTAGCCTGGGATCCAGAACAAGGGAGAGCAGGTAGAAAGCAGCAGGATACAGGGTACAACGAACAGGGCAGAATCAGGAATAGGGTAACAGCTAGCAGTAACTGGCAGCAAGCAAAAACTGCAGCGAGAGACACTTAGTAGGGGAGGACCTAAATACCCTCCCAGCAGCCAGCATCAGGTGGAAATTAATTATTGGGGTCTGCTGGAAAATGCCAATTGGTGGACACTGGAATTACAACCCTCTGACCATGGAACCACAGTGCAACCAGCAGGTGATCCAGGTCCTGACAGTCAACGGCTGTGTCATTTTTAATACACCAGGATGCACCTTTACAGTTGCAGGCACTCGCACTGAAGCACAACATACATGCAATGACTTTTGCGTAAAAAAAAAATAAGTGGTCAGGTATGTTTTTTTTTTTTTCTGCATCAAACAGCTAAACGGCAAAGTACAGACATGTACAGCTAAAGTCGTTGTAAACCCTTACATATACCCACTGAAGAGACTGGCCCCAGGTGATGCACAAATATTAAATAAATCCTTCTATACATAAATTATACTTGTTTATCTGCAGCCATCTCTTTTCTACACCCTCCTAAAGCACACATTTTACACTTGCATTTCTGAGCTCTAGGAAGAAAGGGGCAGGGTATGACATCATACACTGTACAGCATAGAGTTGAGTGTAATCTGAGACCTGAGTGGAGGGAAAATACACACCTTCCTCTACGAAGTCTCATAGGGAAACATGCACAGCTAAGGGTGTCAGTCAACCCCAGGATTTTGTGGTGTGGGCATAACTTGTCAGAAGGAGAGGAGAGAGAGAAAGGTAAGAACCACACTAAGTGTTTTGTATTGAGGCAAGTAGACACTGTAGAGGGCTTTGTTTGTTTTTCATTTCAGACGTTTACAACCACCTTAAAGACAGCTTTTTGCTATGCCCTGTAATATCTGAATAGAAGTTCATAAATAGGAAGCCACTCTCCTGACTAGCCTCAGCCTACATGTCTACGCCAAAAAAAAACTACGCCATCTGACACATTTCGCCCCACCACTGGGGGTTACTCTTAGTCATAGTCACACTATTGTTAAGCCCAGGTGGGTGGGACGAAACGTGTCGGTGGGTGTGGTATATGGTGGAGACATATAGGCTGAGACATCTTCTTTCATGTCACACAGGCTGGTCGGGAGAGCAGCGTTCTTCCTATTTATGTACACATTACTTTCTGAATGAGTACATCAGTACAAGGGTATCACGTACCTGGTGATGGAGGCCAATGGAGAGAGAGGGCTTCCCTTGCGGCTAAGTTCCGGACTCCCCTGAGAGTGGGACAGCGGGAGTCAGGCCCAAAGTTGCACAGGTCGCTTGTAGGCGTGCTGGTTGGTGGTCCTCTCAGAAGCACAGCTGGTGCACGGAGATAGGTCTACAGACAGGAGGCACCTGTGCGTGGTATGCAAGCCCTTCCGGGAGTTAGATGTTTACTGGGTAGTCGGTTCAAGCCAAGGTCAGGTAGCAGCTAGGAATCAGAGTGGACGTAGTCAGATGGGATAGCCGAGGTCATACACACAGAGGAGCGAGAGAGAGAGAGAGTATCCGTAAGCCAGGCCGAGGTCAGATCAGGGGTAAAGTAGAGTAGACAGGTCCAGGAGCAAGCCGAGTCGGTAACAGGAAATCACGGGTCAAAGTCACAGGAAACAGGAACAGGGCACGGGGAGCTAGAGATCATCCAGCAACTTGAGGAAGTGATGAACCTCCTTATAAAGGCCGTCTGGCACCAGACTGAGGCTGATGTATTCTTCTGCGGCCATGCAGAGTACTGGCAGAAATACCAGATCTTCCAGAACCTCTGTCGTGGACAGGACCCTGACAAAGGGCAAACCAGGGGAACCAAGATTCCTCTCAAGCCCAAGTCTTTACTGAGATCGCTCTGAATAGAGGCTGCCATTAAAAAAATAAAAACTGCTGCAGGTATAAAGTTCGGGCACCCAGAGGTACACATACCTGCATCCCCGAATACCCCACATCCCCGAATACCCTGATGTTAAAGCTGAATGCCATACATACGGACAGGCAGAGCTTTGCCACTGTAGAAGTGCCAAAGCTTGCCTACCGTTTCCACCTCCTGGTCTTCCTATTGGACAGTAAGGCTGCACATCATAGTTGTGGGCCAAGTGGAATTTTCAGGGGGAGTGGAGTGGGTGACAGCAGCAGTAGTCCCTGACACTAATCAGAATTGTTGAATCTTCACCCCAGGATTTGGCTTTAGGATACAGGTATTAAAGTCCTCTAGGCCCTGCAGAATACCTGTAGCAACTGTTTTTATTTCTTCATGACAGTCATATTATTCATGATCAGGGGCGGACTGACCATTTGGAAACTCAGGCACTGCCCGAGGGCCCGGGGTCAGTAAGGGGGCCCCATGAGATTCCCCTGGTACCTTTTTCATAGGCTTTTTTGAGTTTGGGCAAGGACACAGGGGCCCCATGATCCCCTATTGCCCGGGGGCCCCATGAGTTGTCAGTCCTCCCCTGTTCATGATATGATTTCTATTTATGTACAATTCACTTTTTGTCTTTTTTTTTGTCTTAGTACATGGTCCTGCATCCTTTGCAGGAGGCGTCTTCTGTAGCAGACTTGCAGGAAGGGGAAGATAGTGATTGTTTGTATTTATTTTGTATTAGCTGTTGCAATCAGTTTATTATTTTCATTGTGTGAGATTAGTTAATTTGTGTTTCCAGCAATGTTTTCACATGTTTTCTAAGCAAAAAAAAAAACAAAACAAAGCTATAATAATGTAGATACTCTCCAGCAAAGAGTGCATCAGCACGCATGTCTGTCAATGCTCATGCCTAGACGCTCCAAAGTAATTAATGCTAATAACATCTTAATGTGCTCATGAGATCGTAATGAGGAGAAATGAAGGCTCTGATTACAGATAGCAAGCTCTGTGTATGTTTTGGCTTCCGACAATTTTTCAGTTTTTGCAGACAACAGTTTTAGAAGTTGCCTGTGATTACATCAGGCGATTCTTATTTCGAGGTGGATGTTTCACGAATTACTGGGGATTTTTTTTTTCCCTTCCTCCTATTGGCTGTAAAATAATCACAGGTTTCTTTTTTTTTTATAGGAAATTGTGTCATAAAATAAATTTTTCTCAGTAGGCAGCTGCACTTTTTTTCTTAGCTAATTTGTTGCTGATAGTTTGAAGAAAATATTACCTTTCCTACTGGCAGGAAATAAATGAAAGCCTATCTTAGAAATGTTTAAATAGGAAAGTCTGGCAACCCGTCGTTCCCCAGAAGATGCAATACTATTAACACCTAACTACAGATTTTGTGTTACTTTAACCACTTCCAGTCCGGACACTTTCACCCCCTTCCAGTCCGGACACTTCCCCCCCCTTCCAGTCCGGACACTTTCACCCCCTTCCAGACCGGACACTTTCCCCCCCTTCCAGTCCGGACACTTTCACCCCCTTCCAGTCCAGGACACTTTCCCCCCTTCCAGTCCGGACACTTTCACCCCCTTCCAATCCGGACACTTTCCCCCCCTTCCAGTCCGGACACTTTCCCCCCCTTCCAGTCCGGACACTTTCCCCCCTTCCAGTCCGGACACTTTCCCCCCTTCCAGTCCGGACACTTTTACCCCCTTCCAGTCCGGACACTTTCCCCCCCTTCCAGTCCGGACACTTTCACACTTTCCCCCCCTTCCAGTCCGGACACTTTCAGTCCAGACCCTTCCAGTCCGGACGCTTTCACCCCCTTCCAGTCCGGACGCTTTCCCCCCCTTCCAGTCCGGACACTTTCACCCCCTTCCAGTCCGGACACTTTCCCCCCCTTCCAGACCGGACACTTTACCCCCTTCCAGTCCGGACACTTTCACCCCCTTCCAGTCCGGACACTTCCCCCCTTCCAGTCCGGACGCTTTCACCCCCTTCCAGTCCGGACACTTTCCCCCCCTTCCAGTCCGGACGCTTTCACCCCCTTCCAGACCGGACGCTTTCCCCTCCTTCCAGTCCGGACGCTTTCCCCCTCTTCCAGTCCAGACACTTTCCCCCCCTTCCAGTCCGGACACTTTCACCCCCTTCCAGTCCGGACACTTTCACACCCCCTTCCAGTCCGGGCACTTTCCCCCCCTTCCAGTCCGGACACTTTACCCCCTTCCAGTCCGGACACTTTTACCCCCTTCCAGTCCAGACACTTTTACCCCCTTCCAGTCCGGACACTTTCCCCCCCTTCCAGTCCGGACACTTTCCCCCCTTCCAGTCTGGACACTTTCACCCACTTCCAGACCAGACACTTTTACCCCCTTCCAGTTCGGACACTTTTACCCCCTTCCTGTCCAGGGCAATTTTCAGCTTTCAGCGCTATCACACTTTGAATGACAATTGCGCGGTCATGCAACACTGTACCCAAATGAATTTTTTACCATTTTTTTGAGACAGATAAAATTTTATTTTGGTGGTATTTATTCACTGCTGGGATTTTTATTTTTTTTGCTATTTAAATAAAAAAGTCAAAAATTTTGAAAAAAAAAGTGTTTTTTTAATAAAATTTTGCAAATAAAAATCATCATAAATCTTTGCCAAAATTTATTCCGTTATCTTTTTAGTAAAAAAAAATCCAAATTAGTTTATAACCAAAAATTATAATTTTGAAACATTTTCTTTTACATTTTTATTTCATTTTTTTATATAATATATTTTTTTATTTATATTTTTTTTTTTACATTACTGTCACGCTAGCAGTACAGTGTCACCATGGTGACACTGTACTACTTGTGGGGGGTGATGAAGATTTTTTTTTTTTTTTTACACTGATTGCTTTTACACCCATATAGGATGTAAAAGCAATCATTTCTCTTTCTCTGTCTGCATTCTTGCAGCCATTGAGAAATACTGAGTGAGCTGTGATTGGTCACAGCTTGTCATATGGTACAAGGCTGTTGTGAATAGCCTTGTACCATGTGACCTCTGTGATCATTCACAGATTTCACACGTAGTGAGCAATGATGCCACAAGTGACATCTTGCTTACTACTTTGCATGTGATCACTGATTGGCCAATCAGTGATCACATGATCGGGACCTCGTGCAGAGGTCCCGTCCGACGATTGGTGTTTCACTGTGTCTGGAGGACACAGCGGGCTCTGGATCGCGGTGCTGCATGCTCCCAGGAGAGCGCACACAAGCAGGGTGCGGGGTGGCCGTTTATAAACGGCCACCCGACCCTGCACTGCCACTGTCCGGCCGTTTATATGCAACGGTCGGTCGGGAAGTGGTTAAAGCAAAACCTTTTTTTTTTTTTCATTTAGGATAGAGTAAGTGAGGGTTGTAACCCCTGTCAGGTTTTTTCTTTACCTTCACTTCCTGTCCCATAGCCAAAACAGGAGATCCCTTCAAATTAACCACACCTATAGTAAAATGACAGCTGGGCGGGAGCTTTCTTGTTTGGGATGGACGCAGGGGCGGACTGACAACTCATGGGGCCCCCGGGCAATAGGGGATCATGGGGCCCCTGTGTCCTTGCCCAAACTCAAAAAAGGCTATGGAAAAGGTACCAGGGCATCTCATGGGGCTCCCTACTGACCCCGGGCCCTCGGGCAGTGCCCGAGTTTCCAAATGGTCAGTCTGCCACTGGATGGACGTGATATGACGTTCTTCCCTGATCGTGCCGCGGTGCTCCGTTATCTGACACAGCAAATCAGTGTACCGACCCACTGCTGGTATCATGTGATCGCTGACCAATCACAGCAGATCACATAACAGTTGTACACAGTGGATGGCTTCCATTCATGCCATTTATTGTCAGCTATTGTGTTGATCTCTGTGATTGGTCACATTGATCACATGGTACAGACAGGGCCAACCACAGCCCATCTGTACCTTGTGATTAGCTGTGGCCAATCACAATAGTACACACTGGATGAATTGATTTCATTCAGAAAAAAATGGTTGCTTATGACTGTGATTTTCACTTATAAGTGATCATAGTGTGTAAATCAAAAATCCTGACCACCTCCCAAGAGGTGAGAGTATATAAAAAAGTTTAAAATTTGTTTTAAATTTCTTCATTTTCTAAAAAAACAATGACAATTTGCAAAAAAATTGCAGCTTCACAAAACCCAATATTACTCCTGCTAAATACTTTGGAGTGTCTGTTTTCCAAAAAGTGGTCAATTGGGGGGTACTTGTACTGTCCTGACATTTTCGGGCCTCAAGAAATGAGATTGGCCGTCAGTACATCAGGATTGATCGATTTTCCGATATATCCCATAGTTTTTATAACTTTCCCACAGACTAAATAACAAACACTGATTTGGGTTATTTTCACCAAAGAAATGCAGCAGAATACACTTTGGCCTAAATTTATAAAGAAAGATTATTTATTTGCAAAATTTTATAACAGAAACAAAGAAAAACACATTTTATTTGCAAAATTTTCTGTCTTTTTCTATTTATTTAGCAAAAAGTAAAAAAAAAACCCAGTGATGATTACATACCACAAAGGGGCAGACTGACCGTTTGGAAACTCAGGCACTGCCTGAGGGCCTGGGGTCAGTAGGGGGCCCCATGAGATGACCCTGGTACCTTTTTCATAGACTTTTTGAGTTTGGGCAAGGACACAGGGGCCCCATGATCCCCTATTGCCCGGGAGCTCCATCAGTTGTCAGTCCGCCCCTGTGGATCACCTTAAGTGATTTATTTAATTTGTTTCAAATTCCACATATTTCGTTCGAAAATCGTAAATGTCGTTCGCTCGTTAATCCGATGGCGCCATCATTGATTTCGAAAATCGGCCGACCGAGTCATAAAGTTCACCCCATATAACATTTGAAACTTCTGTTCCTTCCAGGTCACAGCTCATGCTCATATTCTTTTCAGAAAAACGATCGTACGATTTGACCGTCATTGAGTCGAACATTGGTCGTTTTTCACAAATTTCCCAACATGCCCGATCACCAAATAGGGAAGGAACCACGAAAATTGGCCGGTGCCATTGACCAACTAACGGAGTGAAAATCGGTCAATTATTCTTAGGTCCCATTTTCGGATGAAAACATGTATGGCCAGCCTAAGAGGTTGATTTACTAAAACTGGAGAGAGCAAAATCTGGTGCAGTTCTGCATAGAAACCAATCAGCTTCTAACTTCAACTTGTTCAATTAACCTCCCTGGCGGTATTCCCGAGTGTAGCTCGGGGAAAAGTTTCAGCACCACAAGCGGTAACCCCCCCTGAGCTACACTCGGGAATACACTGCAGGGTTGCTCCGGGATCTCTTCTTCACTTACCTTGTCCTGCGCTCCCGCGATGTCCCCCCTGCAGTGTCCCCGGCAATGTCCTCCGCCCGATGCCGGCATCCGTCTTCCAGGTTCCGTTCCCTGCGACGTCGGGATGTACGGGGGACGGAACTGGCGGGAAATTTGAAAATATCAAAAGTGACATTCACTAAAAACACTAAAATCACATAGTATAACATTCCTGTATCAAACCATTTCACATACATTTTGTCCCGAGTGCTTTGTCCGGCGCCCTGCCTGCATTTTTACTGTTCTTTCTGCCTGGAAACTGAGAAACGTCCATGGCGTCCAAAAAGCGTCCCTTTAGGTCAAAAGCGGTTTTAGACCGGCTAGAGAACAGCGATAGTAAATCAGAACCACTTGCAGAATTGAATGATAATGATTCGTGGGGGAAATTCCTCATCAGACACTGAAAACGATTCTGCGACTTTGCTCAGCGATGTGCGAACTTGGCGCTATATTTCACATTTCAGTGTTTTTTGGTTTGATTATATAAAAAAAAAAAAAAAAAAGAAAATATTGAATTAAATGTATTAGTATATTATTATTTTTATGATTATTTATTATATTATAAATTATGGTTTCGGGTTTCAGATTTTATCCTACCCGGGATGTTTACTAGACTCTTGTTCGGACAGATTTCAGTGAGGTATTCCTAAGAATTACAGGCCTACTATAAAAAAAACAACATATTTCCATGCAAAACAATGTACCGCTTTGAGCACAGAAATATGGACATAATCAGACCGCTAGGGAGGTTAAGCTTTGACAAAAAAAACCCTGGAAGCTGATTGGTTTCTGTGCAGAGCTGCCCCGAATTGTACACTCTCCAGTTTTAGTAAATCAACCCTTAAGGGTTATATGTTTTATTACAGTGTCCCTATTGGAGAAATCCTGACCGAGGTTGTAGCTCAGTTCCTGTGCCTCAAAAAAAAGTGTTGGTTGACGTTGGGCTTTAATGCAGGTTGTATCAGATAAATTAGGCATACTTTTAATAATCCCCTATAGTTTTCAGTTGGGGTGCCTGCTCCTTCCCTCCCTCTTCACATTCTCTCCTCATTATTTCTGCTTTGTAAAAGCTTCTTCACCACCTTCGAAGCCTGTGCTGAGCCTAATGAGAATAATGTACAAAAAAATAATAATCATGTGGAAGGTCAGGAAGAAATTCCATACACAAAATGGCTTTCCTTGATGTCCACTACAGGGGGGGGAACACAAACAAAGTTTTTCTTGTACCATACTGAAATTTTGCAGATGGCACCATACAACTAGCTACATGAACCAGTTTGAACAGTTTTTTTTTTTTTTTTTTTCTTTTTTTAATTTGAAAAAGGAGAGGTGTTTGACCACATTTCAGCATGTCATGGCTGAGTGGGTTTTTACCAGAAAGAGAAAAATATGTTTTTATGATATAGTATCTCCTAGATTGTATGCTCGAAAGAGTAGGGCCCTCTAACCCCTCGTGTGCTGTTTGTTGTTGCTGTTCTGTTTCATGTATTGTCCCCCCCCCCTCTATTGTACAGCGCTGAGCAAACCCTTTGGCGCTATATAAACTCCATGTAATAATAATAATAATAATA